GCTGCAGGTGGAGACGCCGGTGCTGTCGCAGCTGCTGACGGAAATGGATGGCATCGGGCCCCACACTTCAGTGGTTGTGCTGGCAGCAACAAACCGCCCCGATCTGCTCGATGCTGCGCTGCTGCGGCCGGGGCGGCTGGACCGTCTGGTGTACGTACAGCTGCCGGACCCGCAGGCGCGGCAGCAGATCGCCTTCAACACCCTCAGGCACGTGCCCATTCACCCCACAGCAGCAGCAGCAGCAGCAGCTGCTGCTGCTGCTGCTGATGGTGGTGATGGTGGGGGTGCGGGAGAAACTGCTGCGGCAGGGCCTCCGGGAGAAGCTGCTGCTGCTCACAAGCAAGAACACACAGCTTGTGCGAACCCGAAAAGGGAAGACGGGCTCACTGACGGGCTGCAGCAGCAGCAGCAGCAGCAGCAGCAAAGCCCGGTGGCCGCCCCTGCTGCTGTGGCAGAGTGGCTCAGTGCACGTACAGCCGGCTACAGCGGCGCTGAGATCGTTATGATTTGCAAGGAAGCAGCACTGGAAGCAATTAGGGAACATATTGCTGGCTGCGTGGACTCCCAGCAGCAGCAGCAGCAGCAGCAGCAGCAGCAGCAGGAGGGGCTGCTGGCGCTGCGGATGCGGCACCTGGAGGCGGCTCTGCAACGCGTACAGCCCCGCACGCCCCAGTCGCTGCTGCAGCTCTACAAAGAATACAGCAGCAAGAACTAAGGACCAGCAGCTGCAGCAGCAGCAGCAACGGCTGCTGCTGCTGCAGCAGCAACAAACGCAGCACACGCTGCAAGTGACAGTGGCCGCGCACGCTACATTCAGGTTTATCTGCACAGCCAAGCAGCTGCTGCTGCTGCAGCAGCTGTAGCAGCTGCAACAGCGGCTGTAGCAGCTGCAGCACGGGCTATAGCGGCTGCAGCAACAGCAGCTGCAGCAACTATGGCAGCTGCAGCAGAAGCTGCGGCAGCATTTGAACTTTGCTGAATGCCGTTGGCTTTTCGTAAGTGTAGAGGGATTAGTCTGATTGTCCTTGGCGTTTGCTGCTGCCGCTGCCAGCAGCAGCAGCAGCAGCATAGGTAGCTGTTGTTGAAGTCCTCAGCAGCACTTGCAGCAGGCACACCGAACACAGCAGCAGCAGCAGCAGCAGCGGAAGTACAAACTGCAAGTGCAGCAGAGGCGGCAGCAGCAGCCATACCGCATGCAGCAGTAGCGGCAGCAGCAGCAGCAAACTGCACCGGCGCCCGCAACAGTGGCAGCAGCAGCAACTGAAAAAGAACTTATCGTTTGGTGTTTAGCTGGACAAATGCAGCAGCAAAGCTTTGTGGCACTATAACTGCTGCAGCAGGTGGTGCTGCTGCTGCCAGCGAGGCCGCAGCACAGGTGATGCTGCAGCACGTAGTGCTGCAGCTGCTACTCCTGCAGCCAGAAGGGGCACAGCAGCAGCAGCAGCTGCAGCAGCAGCAGCACCGTCTCTCCAACAAACTTGCTGGTGTTGCAGCGGCTGCTTCATGCTGTGCAGCACCGGCTGCTGCATGCCGTGCAGCCCCCTGCTAGGTCCCATGAATCCTTCTGCTGCTGCTACAGCTGCTGCTGCTGCTACTGCTACTGCTGCTGCTGCTACTGCTGCTGCTGCTGCTGCAGTCAGTCCACGTTGTCCAGGGGCCCTTTCTTGGGCTTGTCCAGGCCCAAACTGACCACTGGTCTTAGCTGCAGCTCGTGTTCGGGCTGCAGCAAATCTGGCTGCTGCCCCTGCTGCAGCAGCAAGGCCTCCTGCAGCAGCAAATGGGACTGCAGGAAATTATACTTGTCCCAAATATGTCCCAGGGAGAAGTTGGTGTATCTGCCTTCAAATACGACTTTCGTCTTGCTGCTGCTGCTGCTGCTGCTGTCGCTGCTGCTGCTGCTGCTGCTGTCGCTGCTGCCTTCAGGTGGACACACAGTGGGAACCAAAGTGGCTTTGCCCTGCGGCAGTGTAGCACTCTTGTAGCCTTCTGCTGCTGCTGCTGCCAGGGCTTTCTGCCACCGCAGCATGCGCGCGCTCTCCTTGACTGCTGCTGCTGCTGCTGCTGCTGCTGCAGCGGCTTTCTGCGCCGCAGCAGCGCCAACGGCGCCAGCCGCGGAGGATGCCATTCTCAAAGACCCAGCAGCAGCAGCAGCAGCAGCAGCAGCAACAACAACGGCACACAGGCTTCGAGTAGGTCCCGAAACAGCTAAGTCTCGGGGGATGAAAGGGAATCTAAAGCAAAGACGAGACTCAGGACAGTTTTGGGGAAGCCGGCGGCGTTAAACAAGCTGCTGCGGCTGCTGCAGCAGCCACAGCAGCAGCAGCTGCTGCTGCTGCATGCAGCCCCGCTGCTCGTTCGAAGTGTGGGCAAAGGAATGAAGCAACAAATTGGAAAGTTAAGAATAAATAAAAGAAAAGTATTATTTTATTTGCTGCTGTGAGCCATCTCAGAGTGCTCGCCCCAACGTGACTCCATTCTTGGCCGTGTCATGTCTGCTGCTGCTGCGGCTGCTGTCACTGCTGCTGCTGCTGTTACCCTTGCTGCTGCTGCTGCGCTGAGTACAGCCGCTGACATCTCAAATGTAATATGTCTTTGTGTGTTAGCTGGGACTAGCAAAAGTGTGTAGCTGTCTTGGCTGCAGCAGAAACGGCTGCTGCCACCCTGCAGCAGCAGCAGCAACAGCTGTTGCTGCTGGCCTGTGCGGTAGCAGCAGCAACTGCTGCTGCTGAGGTTCAGCAGCAGCTGCCGCACTTGCTGGTGACCAACAGGTCCAGCTGCTGCTGCAGCAGCAACTACCGCTGCAGCAACTACCGCTGCAGCAGCAGTAGCCACAGCCCTCCATGGCGGCTGCGCGGCAGCAGCAGCAGCAGCATGAGGGACAGTGCTGCTTTGCCGCCTAGGGGCCTTCACTATTGCTGCTGCTGCTGCAGCGGGGCCCCCAGCAGCCCGCTGCTTTGAGGGGCCCCCGCTGCTGCGCCTTCTTTTATTTTCTAGAGAAAAGATAATAAAATTAAAATTGAAATAACAAAACTAAATAATGAAAATCAACAAAACAAAAAAGGCCTGCTGCGCGAGGGCCAGAGCTGCCTATACACCTCAGCTGCGGCTGCTCCGCCCCCAAAGCCTAACCAAGACAAACCTGAGCAGCAAAGCTAAGCAGCAAACACTCGCCAGCCCCCAGCAGCAGCTGCTGCAGCTGCTGCGGGTGCTGCAGCTGCTGCAGCTGCTGCAGCTGCGGCGGCTGCTGCCGCTGCTGCGGGTGCTGCAGCTGCTGCGGCTGCTGCAGCGCATGCAGAAGCCGCTTGCAGAAGGCCACGGCCGCTCTGCAGCAGCCGAACTAGCTAGCTAGGTAGCTAGCTAGCTATCTGCGGCTGTTTCATAGATAGCTAGCTAGCTAAAGAGGTACTCTACTTTAGGCTCTCTCTGCTCAAGAGCAGCAGGGAGAGGCACGCTGCTGCTGCTGCTGCAGCTGCTGCTGCTGTGGCGGCTACGGCATCCGATTTCCAACGGAGAAGGCCGCAGAGCTGATGTACTATCTGCTTCCGAGGAGCTGCTGCTGCTGCTACTGCCAGTAAGGCTGCTGCTGCGGCTGCTGCTGGAGGTAGACCTGCTGCTGCGGCTGCTGCTGGACGTAGGCCTGCTGCTGCGGCACCTGCTGCTGCACGTAAGCCTGGGGCTGCTGCTGCTGCTGTTGCATGTAGGCCTGTGGCTGCTGCTGCTGCTGCATGTAGGCCTGTGGCTGCTGCTGCTGCTGCTGCATATAGGCCTGAGGCTGCTGCTGCTGCTGCAGTGGATAGCCGTGTTGCTGCGGATGCTGCACTAAACCCCCTTGGTGCTGCTGCGTCGAGTATGGCGGCGGCTGAGGAGGCTGGCACTGCCGCTGGTACTGCATCTGTTGCTGCTGCTGCTGCTGCATGAACTGTGGCGCCACCTGCTGCTGCTGCTGCATGTACTGCTGCTGCTGCTGCAGATAATGCCCCTGCGAGGGCAGCGGCGGCGGCGGCGGGGGGATCGCAGCATGCTGCTGCATCTGCTGTTGCTGCCAAGGCGGCGAACGAATGAAAGCGTGTGCGCCGACAGGCTGCTGCTGCTGCTGCTGTAGGTGCTGCTGCTGCTGCTGCTGGTGCTCTTGCTGCTGCTGCGCCCTCCCCTTGCGCGAGCGCACTCTTTTGCCTCCCTGCTGCTGCTGCTGCTTCGAAGCAGTGCTGCCAGCTTCGCCATAATGCTGCTGTGCTGGAGCTGCCTTCCCTCTGCGTTGCTGCTGCTGCTGCTGCTGTTGCTGCTGCTGCTGGGTTTGTTGCTGCTGCTGCTGCTCATCATCATCCTCCGAGTCGTCTTCCCAGCCGCCATCATCAGGATGCCCGTTATAGGGCCCGCTGCTGCAGCAGCAGCACAGCAGCAGCAAACCAGATAACAACAGCAAAAAGAGCAGCAAATTGTGTAGCCGCAATAGCCGTGAGTGCTGCTACTGAGACAATGAGTGGCAAGAACCTGCTGCTGCTTCATACATAGCTGCTGCACCTGGGTGCAGCAGCAACAGCAGCAGCAGCAGCAGAGCTCACCTAGAGTGCAGGTAGTCCAGCGCCTTCCCCTGCTGGTCTAGAAGGAAGGAGGCATGCGCAACGTCGCACATCACCTCCACACCCTGCAGCAGCAGCAGCAGCAGCAGAGCAGCAGAAAAGCATTGCAGCAGCAGCAAAACAGCGCGAAGTCGAAGCAAATAAAACTCACCGGCTTGAGGCTGCCTGCTGCTGCAGCCAAGACCTCCTGCTGTACGTACACCACATAAAACGGCGACGCCGTGGGCCCGAAGGTGTCAGCCACCTGCAGCAGCAGCAGCAGCAGCAGCAGCAGCGGGGGGAGCTACATGCTAGCCAGCTAGCTAGCTAGCTGCCCAGCCTGCTGAATGGCTATCTAGCTAGCCAAGTTACCTGGCTAGCCAGCTAGCTAACTTGCTACAGAGCCAGGCAGCGAGGTAGCGGGTTCATCACGTAGCTAGCTAGCTAGCTAACTAGCTAGCTAGCTAGCTAGCTAACGCTAGCTAGCTTATCACTAAAGCAGCTAGCTAGCCGACTTATTACAGAGCCGACTAGCTAGCCAGCTGATAAAGCTACGCAGCTAGCTAGCTAGAAAGACGGGCGGCTAGCTAGCTAGGCTCGTGAGTCTCGATAAGCACATGGCTAGCTGCCTAGCTACTCGGCCAGCTAGCTGCAGCTACCTGACAGCTAGCTAGCTATCTAGCTAGCTAGCTAATCAGCTAGCCAGCTAGCTAGCCAGCTAGCTAGCTAGCAAATCAGCTAGCAAATCAGCTAGCTGGCTAGCTAGCTAGCTAGCAAATCAGCTAGCTAGCTAGCTAGCTAGCTGACAAATCAGCTAGGTAGCTGGCTAGCTAGCTAGCTGTGCTGCTGTCTAGCCGCAGGCTCACCACCCCCAAAATACGGCGGTCTGGCAGGCAAACCACAGAGCCCAAGTCCATCGGGTTTGAACCCTGCAGCAGCAGCAGCAACAGCAGCAGATGCAGCAGCAGCAGCAGCAGATGCAGCAACTGCAGCAGCAGCAAAAGAGAGGCAGTGTGCTGCGTCGCCTGCTGCTCTCTGCTGCAGCAGCTTCGAGCTGCCTCTCCACTTGCCGTTTTTCCGTCTTTCTTTCCTCAAGCACTTGAAACAAAATAACATTTATTTATAATTAAATTAATTAAATTAATTAGATTAATTCAATCTAATTAATTAAACTAATTAAATTAATTTACTTGTTCTGCTTTTATGCAAAGAGCCTCCCCCAAGACAGACTCCACCCGCCCGCAGCGCAGCAGCTCCCCCCCCTCAGGGACAAACTGCGGCAGCCCCGCGACCTCGATGGGCTGCAGCAGCAGCAGCAGCAGCAAAAGCAGCAGCAGCAATAGCAGCAGCAGCAGAAATAGCAGCAGCAGCAGCAACAGCAACAGCAGCAGCAAAAGAGGAGGTGCGACTCGTGCAAGCCGCTAGCAGCAGCAGCAGCAGCGAAAGCATCACCCACCATCGAACTGAGCTACGGCAGTCGCCAACGTGGGGACAAGCAGCAGCAGCAGCAGCAGCAGCAACGGCAGCAGCAACAGCAGCAGCAGCAGCTTCTTACTTGTATGAGTGAGCGCAGCTCCTCCTTTGTGGCGCTTCCGCCGTCCTCTTCTTCGCTGCAGCAGTCAGCATCCATCGCCTCTCCAGCTGCTGCTGTTGCTGCTGGTGTTGCTGCTGCTGCTGCCTTTGTTGCTGCCCCTTCTGCTGCTGCTGCTGCGCCTGGTGCTGGTGCGCCTCCATCAGCTGCTGCTGCAGTTCCTTCTGCCTGCATCGGATCCCATTGCTGCAGCAGCTGTCGCTGCTGCTCAAGCGCTCCCTCTGCTGCTAGGCTACCGTTTGCTGCTGCTGCTGCTGCTGCTTTTGAAGGGGCTGTTGCAGCTGCTTCGCTCTCGCTGTCGCTACTGTCGCTGCTGCTGCTGTTGCTGCTGCGACGGGCAGCAGCAGCAGGCGGGCGCTGGCGGAGCTTTGATTGAATGGGGTCAGCTAGCTGCAGCTGCTGCAGCAGCAATGCGTCGGCCTGCAAGGGTGCAGCAGCAGCAACACGTAGCAGCAGCAACACGGAGCTGCCGCAGCAAGACGCAGCAAGACGTGGCAGCAGCAACAACTAATAGAAGCGACAGCAGCAGCAGCAAAAGTGCGATAAACCTAGGTAATCCTGAGGCAACAAATCCCCAACATAAGACGCAGCGACAGCAATGACAGCAGCAGCAGCAGCAGCAGCAGCACACCTGAGCCACATGAGCCGCTACAATCAGATCATCTATCTCTGTCTCTCCGTCTATTACAATTTCCTTCTCAAGTGCCTCCCGAAGGCTGCTGCAGGTGATGCTGCTGCTGCTGCTGCTGTTGCTGCTGCTGCTCGCAGGCAGAACTGGCCTTGCTGCACGTGCTGACGCCGCAGAAAAAGGCGAATTTGCTGCAGCAGGAGCAGGGGGCGGTGTTGCTGCCGCTGCTGCAGCGGCAGGAGCAGGAGGTGGTGTTGCTGGTGCTGCTGCTGCTGCTGCTGCTGCTGGGGCAGCGGCTGGTGCCGTTGCTGGAGCTGTTGCTGCTGCAGCTGCCGTTGCCGCTGCAGCTGTCGTTGCTGTAGCTGTTGCTGCCGTAGCTATTGCTGCAGCGGCTGCTGCTGTTCCTACTGTTGCTGCTGGTGCTGCTCCATTTAAAGCAGCTAGGGGCGCAGGAGCGGACGCTCCTGGTGCTGTTGCTGCTGCTCCTGTTGTTGCTGCTGCGGACAGTTCAGCAGTAGCTGCTTGCTGCGAGGCCTGCAGCTGCTGCCCTGAGGCTGCCATTGACGCTGTTACTGCCGAAGGGCACTCTGTTGCTGCCGCAGGGCCTTCTGCTTCTGTTGCTGCTGCATCTGCTTCCTGCTGCGCATTTAGTGTTTTTGCTGCTGCTGCTGCTTCTGCTGCTGGCTCAGCAGCAGAGGGAGCAGCTGGATCCGCTCCAAGGGCCGTTCCCGCAGCGCCTTCGTTCCTCTCTTGGAGTGCAGCAGCAGCAGGATCAGCAGCAGCGGCAGAAGCAGCAGCAGCAGTAGCAGAAGGAGGAGGAGGAGCAGCAGCTTGCTGCTGCGTAGTCGTAACGTGCTGCAGCATGGTGGTCGACCGGCTGGAGCCTTATGGGGGCCTCAGTTGGACAGCAGCAGCAGCAGCAGCAGCAGCAGCAGCAGCAGCAGCTGAACCCACAGGATCTCTCAGAACCTTCAAGTTATAATTGACCTAGAAGAACAGCTGCTGCTGTAGCAGGCCATAAGCAGCAGCAGCAGCAGCAGCAGCAGCAGCAGTTGAGCTGGTGGGCCCCCGAGCCTTGTGTCGGCCCCACAGCAGCAGCAGCCAAGAGGTCCTTTTCATTCTTCTTATCACTAAAATAATTTTAAATATAATTTTTAAACTGCAATTGACAACTTAGGAACTTGTAAATGTGGGCAGGGCTGCTGCTGGTGCTTCTGCTGCAGTTGCTGCTGTTGCTGCTGCTGAGGCTCACAGTAACGGACCTGCTGCAGCTGCAGTTGCTCCTGTGGCACATGCTGTTGCTGTTGTGCTGCTGAGGTTTAATTCGCTGCTGCTGTTGACGATCCCACTGCCGCTCATGAAGCTCCCGCTGCCGCAGCTGCAGGTCCCGCTGCTGCAGCTGCAGCTCCCGCTGCAGCAGTAGCAGGACAGCGCTGGCAGCAGTAGCTGCAGCAGCGGCTGCCACGCAAAGGCTGCAGC